TTCTTCAGTTCACAGCCCCATGGCATGAAGAAAGCACTGGGTGACTGGGATGGGGGGGCCTGTCACCCCTTGCAGGCATTCAGACCATTTTCAGTGGACTGTCTGCTCTTTTAGGGGTCCTCAGCCATTTGGCCTCAGAATTGGCTCTGTGTGACCTACTGGCTTCTCCCAGAGTTTCAGCCACCTGCTTGACGCCACCTCTGCCCTCCACGTAGGACCTTTCTCTTCCACCTCTCCTCTCTCTTCAGGCCCAACCTTCAAACTCCCTTGAAAATTCCAACAATTGCTAACCCTCCAGAGTCTAGACTACTAGACCTACCAACAGCCGCTCCATGTACAGCTAAAAAGTACACCCAATGAGCTTTTAAAAAGCTTTTAAAAATGTCCACGCATTCCTGATCTCTACAACAAAGAATTGGCAGGCTGGTATACCTTAAATGCGCAGGTGCAGCCACAACCCTGGGCATGAAGATGTCTCTTTGATATGCTGATATCATTTCCTTTGGATATATTCCTAGAAATGGGAGAGCGGGTTCGTATGGTAGATCTCTTTCTAGTTTCTTGATGAAACTCCATACTGTTTTCCACAGTGGCTGTACTAATTTACATTCCCACTCGTTTCTTACGTATCATTCTAGAGTTCTTATTGCTTAATCCTCAACATAGGTTCTAACTTCCCTATTTTAATGCAATAGGTAACATATTATAGACATTCTTTTGTACTTTGTTCTTTTCACTTAACAATGTGTCTTGAAGACTTCCTATAAAAGTGCATGATGAACTTCACTATTTTTATAGGTATATGGCATTCCTTTGTATGTATTCCTTTGTATTCCTACTTTACCTGCTTTGCATGGTGGACATGTGGGTTACCCTGTGTTTGTTTTTACACACAAGGAAGTAATAAGGTCCATTTTTTTTTCTTTTTTTGAACTAGGGATTGAGCCCAGGGGTGCCTTGTTACTGTGTATATCCTTATTCCCTTTTTAATTTATTTTAATTTGGAGGCAGGGTCTTGCTAAGTTGTGATCCTCTTGCCTCAGCCTTCTGAGTCATTGGGATTATAGGCATGTACCGCCATGCCCTTCCAGGTCCAATATGTTAAATAATTTTTTTCATGTTTTATCAAAATGAATTTAACTGACCAGCTTAATTCCTGCCTCCCACACAGTGCTTCAGTATTGGATTTGGAGGCTACCACCCAATCCCTCTTCTCTCTGCTCTGCTAGGGCAGAGGCTCTACTGAATAATGGAACTACTTCTTTTTCATGGGGGGAAACATGTGTGCCCTGTCAATACTAACCTGCTTTACTCCTCCATGCCAATTCCTGATTCTGTTTCCTTGGGTGGCAGCAGATTTTTTTTTTTTTTGAGTCCCCATGCTCCTCCTGTTCCCACATTCTGATGGCTTCGGAATTCAGCAAAGCCAAGAGAGATCATGACCAGGTCCAGGGAGGCTCTGAGGGCCTGGGGCATTTTTCTACCAGTAGGCTGCAAGAGGCAGGGTCAGGGCCCAAGGCTTTCCTTGCCTCCCACCAGAGTTGGCTCCTACAGCCAGGGTCCTGCACAGGGGCCCTAGGCCCCTCCTTGCCAAGTTGGCTCCTATTGAATACTGTTCGACACCTGCCATGCTACTGGTTGCTGCCAACTGAGTGTGTAGCATCCCAGATGTGCAGAAGGCAACTCAAGATGGGGCAGTGGGGTCTGGTCCCTCGGGGCCTGGAGCTCCCTGAGTAAAGACCCAGGGAGCTTTAGTCTCTGCTACAGGAAATGGATGAATGGATGAGGAGAGGCCTTCAAGGTGTCCTCTGATCAAGGCCCTCTGGCCTCCCTCAGGGGGTCCCAGACTGCACCCCCATTGCCTCCTCCTGAGCAACACTTGCACCAGGCGGGAGGCTCTGCATCTCCCTGACTCTCCTGAACCAGGTCCCCACAGCCCGCCTCTTGGGCTTTGGGATAGGCACTGTCCAGTCCTTCCTCCTATGGATGCCGGGGCTCTGGAAGCCAACTGGCACCTTGGAGGGACTGACCCCAGGGCTTATGGTGGTGGTGGACCTTGGAGGGTGCATTTCATGACCCAAAAAGAGGTCTCAGGGAGGAAATAACAGTCCATCTGAGGCAGCTCGGAGGTGCTGGGCTGGCAGGGGTGGGGCCAAGGCTTCCTTCTGCATTTCCTCCCATTGTTCCCACCCCACTTCCGGGAATTCTCCTGGGCCTGGGCTGAGAGGTCAGGGCTGCCGTCAAAGGGAGGCAGGAGACCTGGATTTGCGCTGGCCCTCTGGTTTCAACTCCCAAATTGGAGCTCCAGCCCCATGTACAGGTCTCTAGTTGACTAGGTCTGCTGTCTGTCCCCTCCACTCCTGCTTCCTGGCCTGGCCTTCCTGTCCCCAATGCTGGAAGTCTCAGGGCTGTGGGGATTGCCCAGGGAATCTGGAGAGCCCTAGGACGGGCTGTGCCATCTCTGCTTGTACAAGTCATTCTGATCTGTCACTTCAGTTTTCCCAGGAAGGAGGGACAGGGTGACTGATCTCTGATGTTGCATGGTCTCAGGGGTCCTCTACACCTACCCTCTGATCTTTTTGACTTTGTCTGGATCCTGAGGACACTTGACACTTCAGTCAACATACTGGTGACAGGTGTCCACCTCATGGTGGCTCTTTGGGATAGACATGTATATTGTGAGGGGATGAAGGAGTTTCGGAACTCTGCAATGAATATTAATAAGTCCTTCCATTTAGCCTTTCTTAAAGATATATGAGAAAAATTGTCTTTGAATATATGCCACATTTCTTGTCTTCCTAGCAAGGTCACTGCAAGGTGACTGAGAGGTGGCCTACCCCAAGAAGGATGGAAATAGATGTACTTTATTGTCCAGAGGTTTATACAAGTGATCAGTTTTTTTGTCATTTTTAATGTAGTGAAATGTGGTATACATTAAAAACCTACCATTTGAACCTTTTAAAATATATATTCAATGGCATTAAAGTTGTGCAGTCATCACCTGATTCATCTCTAGAACTTTTTCATCTTCTAAACTGAAAGTCTACACCTATTAAATCATAATTCTTCACTGCCTGGTCTCCCAGCCCTGGTGACCACACCGTTCTACTTCCTGTGTCCATGAATTTGACTACTCTAGGTACCCCAAATAAGTGGAATTGGATAATACTCATCTTTTGGTGTCTGGCTTATTTCACTTGGCATAGTGCCTCTAAGGTTAACTCCTGTTGTGGCTCATGTCAGAACTTCCTTCCTTTTTAAGATTGAATAATATTCTGTTGTAAGTACGTATTGCATTTTACTTATCTGTCCATCTGTTCCAACTTGGATTGCTTCTACTTTTTGGCTATTGTGAATAATGCTGCTATGAACATTGATATGAAAATGACCGAGTCTGTGATTTCAATTTTTTGGAGTATATATATCCAGAATTGGGGTTGCTGGGTAATACTGTAATTCTCTGTTTTAGCTCTTTTGAGGCACCTCCAGGCTGTATACCTCAGCAGCTGTACCTCTTCCTGTTCCCCACCAGCAGTGCACAAGGGGTCCAGTTTATCCACATCTTTTTTTTTGGAGGGGATGGGGTACTGGGGATTGAACTCGGGAAGTTCAATCAATCACTGAGCCACATCCCCAGCCCTATTTTGTATTTTATTTAGAGACAGAGTCTCATTGAGTTGCTTAGTGCCTCACTTTTACTGAGGCTGGCTTTGAACTCAGCCTCCTGAGCCACTGGGATTACAGGTGTGCACCACTGCGCCTGGCTGTCCACATCTTGACCAACGCCTTCTCTCTAAATAATAGCCATTCTAATGGATGTACAGTGGTATTTCATTGTAACAAGTTTTATTTTTTTAAAAATCAGCTAATTAGGTCAAGATTGCAGTTTTATTTTATAGGGTCATAAAAACATATATCCAAATTAGTGGTTACAGGGGTCAGAAAACGGATGGTCCTGGATACCAGGTTTGGTTCATCCATCAGAGAAGAAGGAGGGGAAGATGAAGGGTGAGAATAAGGAGGGCAAGGGGAAGGAAGAAGGAGAAGAGGGAGGAGTAGGAGGAGAAGAAGGAAAGTGAGCTGTGACTGTTCATTGGACTAATGAAGCTCTGTGCCCTGATGGGACTGTGAGGCTGGTTCGGATTCCCAGGAAAGCAAGCAGGGCCAGTGCCTCCCTTAGGTGGCAGGTTCTAATGGACTCAGCCGCTCACCCACTGTTTTCCTGCTGCTGCAGAGAGGCACGTAGTACATGGTGCATTTCATAGCTCAGGGAACACAGTACTCCTCAGAGCCCTTCAAAGGGCCCTTCGCTGGCCACTGTGCTGGTGGCCCACTCTTTCCCAGGAGCCCATTGTGTAAGGTGCCCCCGGCCTCGGTGAGATGTGCGGCCTCAAGTGTGTGTGCTTTTGGCCATTCTGGGTCTCCCCAGGGAGGGAGGCTGTCTCCCCTGCCTTAATGTCCTTTCTCCCTGTGCCTGAAGACAGGGAAGTTCCTTTGTTTTGACTGATGATTGCTGCTGTTGAGTCCTGGTGTAGTTGGTGTAGACAGCCTGTGTAGACATAGCTGATGGGAGCTGCTGAGGCTCAGGAGCCATGCAGGTGTGATGGTGGAGAAGCTGAGCCTGCCTTCCGGGGATGCCGGCCTGGTATGCTGTCAAGGAGTGGTGGGCAAAAGTCCTTACCTGTGACAGTGGAGACCTGGCTGGGCCTCCGGGGTGTGGCAGGAAGGGTCAAGGTTGACCTTGGGGAAGGGCGTGTGCCTCTTACCCCTCTCTTATGCCCAGGTGTTTTCCCAGGGACCTGGTCTTCCAGGGATGGTGCCTGATAGTGACTTGGTTGGGGATGCAGAGGGAAAGCTCAGGGGCTCCCAGGGGACCGGTGGTGTAGGTAGATGACCTTTGTGTATGTGGTGGTGGTGGTGGTGCTGGTGAGGGGTCTGGTGGGAGAAGAACCAGGGCACATCGGGCTGGTTTTCTACATTGGACTTCTGTGTCCTCCCAGGTTCCTGGGGGAAGCCAAGGTCCCACTCCGGGAGGTCCTTGCCACTCCCAGCCTGTCTGCCAGCTTCAATGCCCCCCTGCTGGACACCAAGCAGCAACCCACTGGGGTAAGTACCGAATGGCCCCTGCATTTGGCCAGTTTCTGGTCTGAGTCCTTGACTGGTGGCTCCTACTCCTTCTGTCACCTTTGATTTTCTGACTTCAGAGATGTGTCAAAGTCCAGCTTCCATAAGTAAGCCAGCTCTTGGGGTGAACACAGGAGGGACACAGAAATGGGAGGGAAGGGGGCCCTGGTCAAGTCAGCTTTGACCCCTACCAACTTGGCCTGCCTCTGGGTCTCGTTCTGTCCATTGGGCCACATTCTGTTCCAAGTTCCCAGTCAGCCTTGGCCATGGCTCCCTGAGTCTCCCTGAGAGAACTGCCTTCCTCATAGCCCAGCCCCATTCTCCAGATTTGGAATAACTGAGTCATCCGGGTCACAGATTACAAGGAAGGAAGACAGACAGCCCTCCCCTACCCACCAGGACCTGTCAGACCCCCTTCCTCTTCTTCCTTTGTCTTTCCTGCCCCTCCTCCAGCCTTGCAGGGCACTCCTGTTCCAAGCAGCCAATTCCCAGCCCTCATCTCTGTTCTCCTGTTATTTTTAGTGATCTAAATATACTCTGCAGGGTTCTTTCTTCCTGGTCACTAGGATTCCTGACCTTCCCTCCAAGTCTACCTTCTAGGATGCACTGAGGAGCTATAGATCTGGAAATGCTTCCTCTCAGTGAGACCTGGAAAGTTCTGGGTGGGCCTTGACTTTATTTCAGATAGGGTGGGGTGTGCTCCTGTGTGTTTGTGCGTGTGTGTGTGTGTGTGTGTGTGTGTGTGTGTGTGTGTGTGAGATTGAGCCCTTTGCTGGACAGGGCAGTCTGGGCTGAGCTGAATGGAACCACACTGGGTGCTGGGATCTGGAGAAAGGGAACAACTGGGGACCCAGAGAATGGATGTCCAAATGGGACATCCAAGGGTGCCTCTCCAAGCCTCCAGAGTGGGAGGGGCTCGAGTGGCTCACTGCACTCCTGCTCTGTGACTCTCTTAATGCTGCAGTCTGCTCCCACGGTCTTGGGACAGTGATGGCTGCTTCCTTGGTGGGGAGTTGCCACTTCCCAGAAGAATCCCCTCCTGTCTCAGACCTTGCTGGTTGACAGGACATTCTGGTCCAGTGCAGTGTTCTCGAGTCTATCTCTGTCACTTCCTGAGTCTCCTCTGAGGCTTCCCTTGATCTCTCCAGTCTCCTGACACTGCCAAGGAGGATTCCCAGGGGTGATGGAGCTGTCCCTTCAGGGATCCTGAAGAGGGCCCCAGCTGGCCCTGGAGAAGGCATAGGGATCAAGGGAGCTGGTGAGAGGCCAGTGGGTCAGGGAATCTGCGAGGAGCTTTTCCATCGCACCTAGGGTGAGGCCATTCTTTTGTCATTACGTGACCTTAAAGCCTCCAACCAGAGTTCCTCACTTCCTTGCTGAGATGCCAGCCTCTCTCCACCAGCCCTTTATGCATCTGGGACACTGATATTTCCTGTACACGCTTCCCTCCAAACTCAAAGTCTCCTTCAGCCCCTGAGACAGAACCTTCCAAACCTGGTCCCTTTTATGGGACTGAGCCAGGTGGGCCACCATCCACCTTGCTTCTTACCTCCTGTTCCCACACTCTGTGGGCTTGATGCTCAGACTAGGAGACGGCTGCCTTCTCTCCTCTGTCCTGGGACCCTGGCTGTCTGCAGACAATCCTTCATCAACCAGGTCTCCAAGAAGGGCATAGAAGAGCCAGGAGCTGGGGAACCGGGAGGAGGGCTGGACCCTGCTCAGTGAGCCCCCAGCTGGGGAGAGGTGGGCCTCCTGCCTGCTGCCCAGGGTGCAGCCCTCACTGTGGCAGGGCCCAGGGAAAGGTGAAGGAGTCCTGGGCAGACACTAGGCCTTGCCTGTGCTGTCCTGACTGTGCATTGTGGGGGTGGGGTGGGTCTGGTCTTGAAAGAGCTCCGGGTGGAGAGCTGTGGCCCAGGAAAGGCAGCAAGCCGCGGGCTGAGCAGTCAGATAACCTGCAGCCTGAGCCTGGCCGCAGAATCTATAGGGGGGCCAGGGACCCAGGAGGAGCCTACAAGGTGGCTCCCTGCCTCTGTATTGGGCTTCCTGAGCCCTTTTAGCCTGGGGACCATTCAGGAGCCTCTAAAGTTCTGCTGATATTGTTGGCTGTGGACCCCCAAAATGACTGGGGTTACCCTACTCCATAGCAGTGTATTTTGGTGGACACATAATTGATAATGGCCTTGAGGTAGGATAACCTCCAGCCAGGACCTGAGAAACTGGGTTATCAGGTGGGTATATTGACGAGGGGGGCTGTGAAGAGCATCCCACCCAGGGCTCTAGGCCAAGGTCATGAGGTCTGGGACAGCACAGAGCTCACATGCCATAGAAAGAAGACCTCAGCACTGGCTCTCTGGAGAAGGAAGGGTCCCAATGCTGGGTGGGGCTACAGACATGCTCCCTTTCCCTTGAGATCCTCAGTGGAGCCAGAGGCCTCCAGTATTAGTCATCTCTGCTCCTAGCATGAAAACTCATTTCCCTGGAGTCCACCCCGTGCTGGGGCATCTGTTCCAGAGCCTGGTTTCTAGACCTTCTGAAGCTGCCTGGGATGCTCCTGTGGCTCCTGGATGGGCCATATAAGAGATGGGCCTGGCTCTTGGCTGGAGGTCTCCTTCCAATGCCTGGAACCACCTGGATGTTGCCAGTTCTTTAGATGCTCAGTGCAGGGCTACTGGTGTGGAAGTACCTGATGCTCAAGAAACCCCACGAGGGGCTGCCTGGACTGCCTTCAGATTCTAGAGCTATCACGAGGGCTGCCCCTGAGCGCCCTGTGCTGAGGTGCTGACATCGGGCCAGGGTGGAGCCGTGACCCTCCTGCTGTGCCACCTCTGCAGAGCTGGTGTATCAGAAGCCCCAGGTAGTACGGAGCCTGTAGATAAGCAAGGTGAGCCCATACCTATGATAGCACCGAAGTCACGGTGCAGCCCCAGGCAAGTCATAAGGAGCCCTGGGTGGTGCTTCCTGCTTAGGACTTGGGCTGTTGGAGCTGCAGTGGGAGGGGTGCTCTTCCAGAGGATTCGGCTCCAGGGTCAGGATCCCCAGGGCAGCCAAGATGTGGCCCCTTCAAGTTTTTGTCTAACTTCTCTCACTGGGGGTCACTCAGACCACTTGATTTAACCCTGCAACCTGAGACTCCTCTACTCCCCTGACCCTTCTTGACCTTTCTTTCTAACAGATGCTATAATTTATGTTTATTATTAAATATTGTCTTCCTCCTTTGCTGAGATATCTGATCCATGAGGTGGAGACCTTGTTCACAGGAATATCCCCAGGATCTTCAGCAGGGTCTGGTCCCCCGCTGGTGCTCTCAATGTGTATTTGCAAAGGGAATGAGTAAGTGAATTAATCGAGTTGGGCCAGAAATGACAGGCAGGGTCCCCATTCCCTGTCTTTCTGATATGGACACACACTGACCTAAGCAAACACTGTACCCAGGACTGGCCTGGTAGGTAGTCACACAGAGTCCCATGTTCAGAAGGACCCTGGATTTGCTTTAGTTGTCTACCATTACCATGTTAAGATTCTAATAATTTTTGAATGAGAGACCTGAGCTTTTTGTTTTGCACTGGGGCCTGCCAATAATGCATCTGGTTCTGACTTAAACTATTTCTGCAGGAGGGAACCAGCCTGAGTGGGGCAGGGGGCTCTGTCTGCTGAGTGAGCTTCTTGCAGTCATGGAAGGAAAGGATTCACAGATTTTTTTTTTAACACTTATTTTGAGTTAATTTAAGATTTAGAGAAGAGTAACCAAGAATATTATAAAGAGTGTTATGCTGTAATCGTTTGAGACTAATCTGCCAACATCTTGGCCCAGCATCAGTGAACTTCAGTGTGAAATTTCTCTGATTCAGGACTCTGTCCCGCATAACCATAGCACAGCCTTCAAAATGAGCAAATGACATTGACACAGCAGTTCACCTAATCCACAGACCTCCATTGGAGGTTCATCGGTCTTTTTTGACAGGATCACTTCTAGCCAACGGATCCAATTCAGAGTCATGTGTTGGGTTTAGTTGTTCTTTTTCTTTTTCTTTTTTGTACCAGGGATTGAACCCAGGGGTGCTAAACCACTAAGCCACATCCCCAGCCCTTTTAATTCTTAATTTGAGAGGTCTCCCTAAGTTGCTTAGAGCTTGGCTAAGTTTCTGAGGCTGGCCTTGAACTTGCAATCCTCCTGCCTTGGCCTCCCAGTTTGATGGGATTATAGATATCACAGCACCCAGAAGTAGTTGTTTCTTTAGGGTCTTTCTGTCTGAGATAATTCCTCAGTATTTTTTTTTTTTTTTTACTTTTATCATCTTGTAGTATTGAAATATTTGGAAATGCAGGTCACTTATGTTATAGAGTGTCCCTCGGTTTGGGTTTGTTGGAAGTTTCCTTGTGATTAGATTTAGGTTATGCGTCTTGGCATGAATGTGGCATGAGTGATGCTGTGTTGCTCTCATTGTTTTCTATCAGGTGATATGATTTTTGATTTGTTTTCTTAGTGCATCATTCCCTTTGATCGTTTGTATAAACTGGTATTTGCTGGGTTTCCCATTCACTTACCCCACCTTCTAATGAGTAAGGATTTTGTGGGGAAGTATTTTGTCTGGTCATAAGTATCCTGTTCCTCACCAACCTTTCCCTGCAAGTTTGCTTTACTTTTTGTGGTGCTGTGGAGTCAAACCTGGAACTCATGCATGCCCAACACTTGCCCTACCACTGAGTTGTGTCCCCAGACTGATCTCCTGGTTTCGGCATGAATATCCATTGTTGTCTGCTGGTTGAACATATTATTGTTTTTTCTTAATTTTTTTTTAGTCATAGGTGGACACAATACCTTTATTTATTTATTTTTATGTGGTGCTGAGGATTGAACTCAGTGCCTCATATATGCTAGGCGAGCGCTCTAGCCCTGAGCTATAACTGCAGCCCATATATTATTGTTTTAATGGTTCCTAAGTGGTGATGTTCTAAATCAATCCTTTTTTCTTTATTAATCAGTTGGCATTCTACTGTAAGGAAAAGCTGTTTTCCTCTCTGATTATTTACTTATTTCAATATGAATCCATGTGCTTCTGTTTTATTCAGTGGTTTAAATTGTTACTATCATTATTGATTTTCATGTTTAAATTGTCCCAGATTTGGCCGGACAATCAGGGAGCCCCTGTCTTCTGTGTCCTTTTGAGATGTTTCTATTATTCACTGAGCATTTCCTTGCTTTCTGGCCGAAATGATGATCCAAGCTCATCTTGTCCCTCCTCTGTCTTAGCCCTAGAATTAATTATTTTTCCAAAGATCCCTATTAATCTTTCTTTTAAAAAATATATTTTTGGTTGTGAGGGACCTTTATTTATTTTTATTTATTATTTATGTGCCACGCTGAGAATTGAACCCAGTACCTCACACTTGCTAGACAAGTGGTCTCTCACTGAGCTACAATTCCAGCCCAACTAGCCTTTTGATGAAGTGGGGGAAACCCCAAGAGGGGTTTTAGCAATAGAGATGCAAGGCTCCCTGGTGTCATTGCCCCCCCTCTTGCTCCAGGTGGTTTGTTGTTGTTGTTCTTCTTCTTCTTTTAATTTGTTCTAATTAATTATACATCACAGCAGAATGCATTTCCACTCACTGTACACAAATGGAGCACAACTTTGCATTTCTCTGGTTATACACGCCAGAGTCACACCATTTGTGCAATTGTACACATACATAGGGTAATAATTTCCTTCTCATTCCACTATCTTTCTCACCCCATGCCCCCTCCCTTGCCCCCCTCCCCTCTGCCTAATCCAAAATTCCTCCAGTCTTTCCTTGTGGGGGGGGCGGGATTTTGGATCAGCATCCATTAATCAGAGAAAACATTTTGGCTTTTTGGGATTGACTTACTTCATTTATATTCACAGGATATTCTCTCTCCATCTGCAAATGCAGTTCCCGACCCCTTCCCCCGACCCCT